CGTAAACTGTCTTCTACAACGGTCCGACATGACCCCATAAACTGTCTTCTACATCGGTCTGACACCGCCATCCAGTGTCCTCTACCACGTTATGGCACCACCTTTCAGTGTCTTCACCAACGGTCTGACACGACCATACAGTGTCTCCTATCTTTTTTTATTTTTATGTATTTTCTTGTTTTGCTCCTCTCTCCAAACTCAAGTTGGTTAGTTTCTATCCTCCTTGAGTTTGCGGGGGGCTGTTAAAATATATCATCACCTACCACCTCCACTCAACTCACCTACCACACACACTCACCTACTCCCTAACCCTCTCCTATATAATGAGTACCTCACCATCTGTAATTTACACATCAATCATATATCAATCAATAATACATCAATTTTAACAGTTACACTCACCATATTTTTACATAATATCTAATATGTGATATACACAATGATTATTGTAATGATATCCATAAATCTCATTCATATTCATATTCATATTCATATTCATATTCAATCATTAATAGTTATGTGTGCTAAACAAAAAAAATGGTATAAAATTATGATAAAACATAAAATTAATTATTTTTTTAAACATTTTTTTTTTGGTTGATAAATATATTTTTTTGAACAATTTTAATAGTGTCAATTTATGCAACCTCTCAAAAATTTTATATAACACTACATAATTCTAAAAAAAATTCAAAGTTGAGTGGTTTCAATTGAACCCACTATTTTATGCAAAGCTCCGCCCATGCCTATGACAATTCCAAAATTTAATAGTTCCCCTAGTGGAAAATATGGTGGGAACTCTATCAAACGGATGGTTCTCTCAATGCTGTGGGCAAGTCCAATTCAGGCTTAGATTCATCGAGGGGAGCGAAATAGTAGTCAACCACGTCCTTGGTCACTTCTAAACTTGAAGGCTCCCACTGCAAATTTATACTTATAAACCGATCAACGACTTATTTTGAAAGAAATTGAAGATTAAATTCGAAGTAGATGGTGCAATGAAGATAAAGATTATGAGGGTACCTTTGGAGCAAAATCCTTATCAACCAGTTGTGCATGAACACCCTGTACAAGTTGATGGAAACAGACATGAACCTACTGCCTTGTTCGGGAAGAACTAAATAAGCAGTTTTTGGGTGAAAAAAGTAAAAACAAGTTTGTTGGTTTGTTTGTTCGTGATGCCTTCTCCATATAAAAAGAAAAACAGGGGAAAAAAAGGTTATTTTTAGCAATTATCAAACACATCACTTTTTTTATTTTTAAATTCTAGAAAAGCAAAATAACTACTAAAAAAAGTAATTGGAAAACCACACCTAAGAAGGAAGTGTCCAAAGTGTAATCTAAATAAGACATCACAAAAGCCCATACCTCACAGAAATCATTAGAGACCTGTTTGGTGATCCAATTCAAGGACAAACGATACTCACGAACAAGACAACGGTCCAAAGATTGAAACCTACCTTCTCATATCTAATTGCAGAAGAGAAACTGTAAGTCAAATAATAGGTAATAAGAAGCAATCCAAGCAGAATCCATTAGAATGCAACGATTAGGAACTCACAGATTGTAAAGTGACTTTCAAACTCAACTGGGATGTCTCTTTCAGTTTCTTGAGGGCTTTGTACTCCATTCATCTTCCCAAAAATAATTCGAACAACAAAAAAACTAAATGACTCTTGAAAATAACATCCATTACGTAGCCCTTTGCGTGTGTGCAGATGTGGATGTCTGTATGTCCGAAAAAGAGACTGTATCTCTTGTTGGAATATAACTAATCCTATTTTACATAGACTTTTCTAAATGTGTAAAAACAATACCCATATGGGACAGTTGACGCATGGAGTATGAGATGTGTCTGACAAACATATCTAACAATTCAACTATTCCATATAACCATTCATATAACTCTCACATTATGCAGCATGAAATGCTTTGTCACCTTGTAAATACTATTTTATCCTATAAAATAAAATATGAATATTGGTTATATCTTGTGTCCTTGAACATAGGAATTAGATGAATCTGACACTGGGATACATACTTGCACCCAGCACTTGTATCCAAGTCCACGTAACATAGGTATGGATTCCAAGTCTTATATTTTCAATCAAACTAAAAGGAAAAAAGAAAGTAATATAATATCAACCCTCAATAACAGAAGGATCATCTGTGATCAATTTACCGAGGCGTGCTTCAACTGAAGCAAGTCTCTGTTATGAAGAGTGAATTACTAAAAGCTACTTACACATTGAAATAAAGCATGAATACACTCATTGAAGGAAAAAGGAACTAAAAACAAACTGCATTCAGTGAATAATGTGTAGCAAGGCCACAGGCGATCATTTCCACTCCGTTAAGTTTTTCCCCTGTTAGAGCCAAGTATTCCCCTGTAAAGGGAAAAAAAAATAAAAGGATTTTAAATTTTGCAAATAATTTTCTGCATTTATATAAGAAAGAATTTAACTCAACTTGGCAATCTATAATGACATGGGTAAGGCCATAAAGATTATAGCCCACCATTTAGGGCCCAACACATAACTCAAATACGAAAGTCCAACATTGCTGAAGCCCTACTGTAAAAATATTGAAGTATATTGTAAAAATATTGAAGTATATTATTGATTGATGTATTACAAGATTGATTAATTACAATTCCTATACAATCTATATATAGAAGAAAATGTGGTAGTAGGTGTAGTGGAGGTGATAGTGGAGTAGGTGAAGGTAAAGATGGCAAATTCTAACAGCCCCCCGCAAACTCAAGGAGGAGAGAAACTAACCAACTTGAGTTTGGAGAGAGTAACAAAACAAGAAAATACATAAAAATAAAAAAGGATAGGAGACACTGTATGGTCGTGTCAGACCGTTGGTGAAGACACTGTATGGGGTGTCATAACGGTGTAGAGGGCACTGTATGGTGGTGTCAGACCGATGTAGAAGACAGTTTATGGGGTCATGTCGGACCGTTGTAGAAGACAGTTTATGGGGTCAACCATTTGGCATGGACATTATAGAGCACGAGCACCTGCTGACCTTAAAAATAGGTCCAGAACCACCACCATCTGACACATCACAAATGAAAATGGAACCAGTAATTTTATCATGCCAACAGGATTTATAGCCTACGGGCCAGATCTGGTTGCCATTATGATAAGACAGTTTAGTATCAACTTTTCCCAAAGAAAGCACAAAGAAATCTCCATATTGAACTGGAAGTCCCTCCTGAAAAGAACAGACATAAAATCAGGCATGAAGACCAAGCTAAAGACCATAAGCCAACTACTGTAGCCACACAAATAGATGAGCATATATCTAGTCGGGGGAAGTAACCATCTTACATGAAAAAAATATAAACAACTAGTTCACTTACATTAAATTGTTGGGGCCCGGTCCCACTGATTTCTTTTGGCATAGCTCCCACTACTTCTACATTATTTTCAAATTTGCTT